ACTCCAGTCATGACTACCGTTCCACCACGTTTCGGTTATTCCTACGATATCTGGTTTCATTTCTCGGACCAGGAGCTCCAATTCCTCCATTTTGTTACCTAGGCTTCTCGCATTGGTGTATAAACATCTTAATTTATGCCGTTTAGCCTCTCTCACATTAGTTATCCAATTTGGTACGGACACCGTACTGCCAGTATGACCTATTAGTCTAGTATCCATCCCCCCCCTCCTCCTTATGTCCAATCTCTTCCCCCCGGCTGTAACTGTTCTTATCTCATCGACCTCCTTCTCAATGTTATAATCTGGTTTGGAGATTAACTGGACATCTCCCAACCGTCTCCCCCAAATTCCTGGTTTAAAGCTCTTTTTGATGAGATGAGCCAGCCTCCCTCCCAGAAGTCTATTTCCTTCCCTACTTAGGTGAAGTCCATCCCGTGAGAACAGTTGTCTGTCCCCGAAAGCCTCCCAGTGGCCATACATCCCAAAGCCCTCCTTATAGCACCACTCCCTTAGCCAACTATTTATCATCACAATCCTGTCAGTCCTTTGCTGCCCTTCTCTAGGAACAGGCAGAATCCCACTGAAGATGATCTGAGCCTCGATTTCCTTAAGCGTCTTCCCCAGCCTGGCATAATCGCCCTTGATTCTCTCTAGCGAGAATCTAGCAGTGTCATTCGTTCCTACGTGAAGGATGATCAAGGGGTTCTTACCTGCTCCTTTTAGGATCCTTTTCAACCGCAGGTCCACATCCCGTATCTTAGCGCCCGGTAGACAGCACACCCTTCTGTTCTCTGGGTCTGCCCTGGTCACAGGCCTGTCTAACCTCCTCAGTAAGGAGTCCCCAATCACATAAACCTGCCTTTGCCTGGTGACAGTGCGATCTACAAATCTATCCCCTGTTCCCTCTAGTCCCAACCCCTGTCCATTCCTGTTTTCCCTTATAATCCCCCTTATGCCATCCTGTATCCTCCCGGGGCCCAGATTTGGTGCTGTCTCCATCAGCTCCTCCTCTCTTTCTATGGGACTAGCTGCTCTTCTCTTCTTCCTCACCCTCCCACCTTCAGTTACCACCTGCTCCACCCCTTCCTCGTTATCCAAACACCCAAACCTGTTCCTGAGCTCTATTTCTCCTTCACTGGCCCTCCTTTTCCTTGGCCTGCTTCTCACGGTCACATGCTTCCACTGCCCTTGTTCTCCCCCCGACATTCCCCCCTCACAGACCTTAGCTCCTGCTTCCACCTGTACCCCTGAGCATTCCCCTTCAGCCATTCCTTGCCTTTGCTCCATTAGCTGCTCGAACCCCCTTCTAGACTCTACCAGGGTACCTACCTGCATCTCCAAACCTCGGATCTTTTCTTCCAGCAGCTCTATTAGGCGGCACTTCATGCAGACATACCTCTGGTCAGGCACCCCCGCTAGGACCATGTACATACCGCAGCTGCCACATGCGATCATCTGCATTGTGTCCCCCGCTGCTTGGGCTCATGGCTGCTGTTGTCTGGGCCCGCCTGCTCACCTGAGGGAACAGAGCACACGGGACACCGCGCCCTCCTGCCTCCCCTTCCACCTCCTCCAATGAGACTCCCACTCAAACTCCCCTGTTAGCAGCCCTGTTTGCCGGCTCCTGTGCCGCTGCTCGCAGCTGTGCCACTGCTCGGCTGGGAGGCCTCTGTTATAGGCCCCCTAATCAGCCAAGCTCCGCCCCCTAATCAGGGCTCAGGGCTCAGCTGCCCTCCCAGCACACTGCCCGTACAGGCCTCTACACATACAAGCACTACAAAGACAGACGCAAGTACAGATACCTTCTCCTCCAATGAGACTCCCACTCAAACTCCCCTGTTAGCAGCCCTGTTTGACGGCTCCTGTGCCTTCTCTGCTTACAGGGGGAAAAGTGAAGAGAGAGTTAGGAGATAAGAAATCCTCTTGCCCCCCCCGCCTCCCATCTCTGAGAGGCTAGCTTTACAGGACTCGGTGGGACAGACAGCACGGTGTGCCAGCAAACTGAATGGAAAATTGCAATCAGAGAGGCTCCAGCAATTGCATTGCTTTCACTTTTTAAAAACGATTCCCTGGCAAGTTAAAGTCTTTAAAATGTGTTAGGAAAAAGACTCCATGTTCCTAGAAAATACCAAAAGCAGCAAAGACGAGTGGCTACCTCATTAGCCACCCATAAATTCTGCTTCTATTTAATTAAATTAAACAAGGTTCCTTCTTCCTAAAAATATTTGGAATAATTTTAGCAAACAGTAACCAAAACTATTCTAACATTTACTTACCAGCTCCTTTAAAAAAATATTTTACTTGAAACCACTAAAGATTAAATAAATATGATTTCCTCCCATCATACCTCCTGACACCTGGGTGCGGAGGAGGAGGAAGAGCCATAGGAGGGCAGCAGATGGACAGGAAGAGAGCCTGCCTACATCATGTCAGGGTACTGGGATGGCTTCCAGAAGGAAAAGGTTCCCAGACTCCAAGTGAGGTGACTGCCCCTGGGCAGCAGTAGTCGCTGGAGGGCGAGGAGGCATACTAACACAGAAGGTCCCTTCATCTCCCTCCACCATCCAAAAAAGGCCTTCTGCTTCCTCCTCTCATTGAGTTCCATCTTCCCAGGGCCACCTGCCCTACTCTAGAACCCTGCTGTCGGGAAAGGATTGAGCCCACAGGCCCTATGCCAAGGAGAGCAGTGTCCCTGTGGGGTGTATCTTTACTTTCTGCTGTTTGGGGTTCTGAGCCTGGTGGTGTTTCTTCTTAGAAGCATTGACACCTCTTATAACGAATGTCTGTGTAATACTAGAATTGTAAACAATAGTATAATGATGCTAGTATTTTTTTCCCATCACTGGGGTTCTTTTGGCTACATATTTTTTAGCAGTATGGATGTGTGATCTTTGATTTGTGGGCTACTATGTATCTTATCCATGAGACAGACTTGCATTATGTTTTTTATGCATTCCTCAGAGGGCAGAGTTAAGGTTGTTTTGGTGTCATCTTGGTGACTATAGTTCAGTAGGGCTGATTTGCTAGAGGATTTGACTGTGAGCATATCTTTGGGTGAGAATGTGGGAGAAGGTAATGGATGTGTGCACACGGCTTTATTCTATATTTCTTGGGTTTTGTGGTTTTATATTTGGCATTGTTGTCTCTTGGCAACCTTAACTGATTTACACAGAGTGTTTTTATTTTAAGTTCCTTGTCTTTTAAAAATGTTTCAAATAAAGACATTGAAAAAACAGACAGGAAGCTTAAAGTTTATTTTTTTTAAATAATATATGGTTATCCAATTAGCCTCCATGAGACTCTCTCTTATGTAGTTATTGCATGTGGCAATGATACTGTCCCTAGTAAAGTTGTCTGCTATTTCCCATTGCTCACAATGGAACTGAAGCCAGGCATCTCCCAGGAAAAATGGCCACCCTATGTTTGGTTCTATAGTTAGGAGACTGGACAAGAGACTGTTTGGTGTCAGGGAAATGTTGACATCACAGGTGGGCTCATCAGCCCTCTGTTTCTGCCATGTTACTGTAAACTAGCTGAGTAAGCTAGTTAATGGTTAATAACTTTGTCTTTTTCCAACAAAAATGAGGTATTCTTTATCAATGTGTAATCTGATGACTATTTTCTACTATTTCACATTAAAAGTGTTTAAGAAAGCCCCAGAACAAAGATCCCCATGTCATGTCTTTTAAAAAAAAAAAAAAAAAAACTTTTTTTTTTTTTTATTCTAAATTTACAACCTCATAATTTAGGTATTCCAAAAGTACTTAAAATTAGAATATGCTCAGGCTTATAATTTTGATGACTTTTCTCCAAAAAATATTAAAGTGAACAGAACTAAAAGACTACAGAGGTTCATTAAAGGGATGGCCTAGTGTACCTCCCTAATAACTGTACATCCATTATAGGCAGAATGGTGAATGGGATGAGATTGCGTAGTGAATGAGGCAGGGGTCTGCAGGGAGTGAAAGGATGCTCTTGTGGACTAGGACACAGGACTACCAGCTTCTATCTCTGGTTCTGCCCCAGATTTCCTGTGTGGTGTTAGGCAAATAACCTAGGCCCAGATTCAGAAAAGCACTTAAGCACATGCTCAAGTCTTGTTCTGAGCTATCTGCTTAAATGCCTTTCCTACAAAGAAATACTCTTCTGAACTGGGACCGTAAACCAGACTTTTCAGATGAGACTACTAATTTTGTGTTCCTTGTCTCCTGCGTGCCCTCCTTGAGAACAATTTTCAAAAGAGCTGACGGCTCACAATTCCAATTGAAGTCCATGGCATCTGCCAGTGCTCATCATCTCTGAAAAATCAGGTCTTGGGCATCTCAGTTTGGGCACCCAGTCACTAAGGCTCCCAGAATTATGAGACACTCTTGCAAATCTTGGCTTTAATCTCTTTGGGCCTCAGTTTTTCTATCTGGAAAAGGGGATAATAATACTGCCCTGCCTCGTGTGTCTGTTATGAGGGTGAATTCAGGCCCTCAGGAACTGTAGTGGTGAACCCCATAGAAATAAGCTTCTGTTTCCATGAGGAAACAAACAAACAAACACAACTCATTCAGTGCAGGAGTTGGCTGCTGTGCAGTTAACCAGCCATGGGGGCCACACACTGAATGATGAGGATGAAAAGAAATATTGAACAGGGGCTTCACTCCCTGAACACCAGCCATCCTGTGCACTGAATGAGGCAGAGGTCCTGTGGAAAAAGTAATATGTGATTGAAATTTGTATCATAATGCACATTTACCGAGGGACGGAGCTAAGGTTGTACAGACAGCTTTAATCTGGCATTTCCTAGCTTTTGGATGTTTGACTTTGCAACCTTAATAATAATTTTGACATGGGACTTTTGTATCACTTTAGACACACCCATGAATTACTAAGTATTTTTGACGCTTGTTAATATCTTGTGCATTTGGAACAGGAGGGTCCCCCCCCCCCCCCCCTTTTTTTTTTACTTCATATGGTAGGAAAAGTATTTATTTCTTGCATTATCTTTTCAGGTTCAAAATAAACAAGAGAAGAAGCCTGGGACTCCATCCCCAGCCCCTTTGAAGTCAGCCGTCAGTCCACGACCTCTTGTGACTGTGAATAAAGTCCTTATCAATGCCCCTGTGTCCATAAACATTCCACGTTTCTACTTCCCCAAAGGGCTTCCAAGTGTCTGCAACAATCACGAGGAGACCATTGCCAGGATCGAAGCATCCTTTACTGAGTTTGAAGATGAGAGAGCCAACATTTATGAAATGGGGAAAATTGCCAAGGTAAATGTAGCTATTCAGTGGATCACTCACAGTTTGGGGGACAGTGAAACATTAATTAAATTTATTAACTATTTGCTCAATTCTAGTTGCAGTTTTACATTTTTCAGTGCACAATGAGCAAATGTACTTACAGTTTGAATGACTTACGTTAGATTAAGGAAACAACAAAACAAGAATGAACACAATTAAAGTCTCCATGGGAGAAGGATGAAGTGTGTCACCTCTGATACACACTGAGTCAAATCTGACTCACAAAATGGCAGCTTCCCTGGCCAACAGGCAGGCCTCTTAGAAATGCAAAGGAGTTTAGCAAAGAACACATTCACAACTGTTACATACAGCACGGTTGCAAATAATTTGTCCAGGGCATATAGAGCTAAATTCTGACCTCACTTATGCTGGTGCAAATCCAGACTAACTGTTGGAATAAATGGGTTTATACCAGGATTAGACTGGTGTGAGATCAGGAACTAATCCTTTGCCTGTTTTTCTGTTCACTAATTGTCCATAACAGGTTCAGGTTTTCTCAACTTTATTTGTAATTTGAAATTATTCACCAAACTTCTATAATTTTTAGCCTTTATATTTTTAATGAGTGCTTCATTATGAGCATTCAGGATCTGAAACTAGGAATTCACGCTGTTGGTTAGTTTTGATTGGAAACCTATCACAGATCCAGGTCCCCAGATGCATTGGTGCTAGTCTGTGCCACTAGGGAGGAGTGCTGGTGTACTTCAGCTGCAGACATTACCAGTTGCCTCATTTGAGCTCAGCTCTCTGCCACTGTGATCCTGAGGTGACATGAAGCAGGCCCACTCTATGGCTATGATTACACTTGAAGCTAGGGCTGTGATTCGCAGCGTGTGTAGATGTACTTACACCAGCTCTCATTGAGTTAGCATGCTAAAAATAGTAGTGTATCCAGGGTAGCATGGACAATGGTGAGCAGCGGCACAGACTCGTCATGCCGAGTACATACCCTAGGGGTTCAGGCAGGTTTGTAGTAGGGACACTGCTTGGTAACACCACCTCCAGCACAACAGTCTCTTTTAGCGCATGATTAGCAGAAGAGGGATATGGCCAGCTAAACCCCATGTTGCACTGATCCTTGGATGCTCAGTTTGTATAATGCAGACATAGGAGTTCAGCAGCTTTAGAGTTCTAACAGTCGGCAAATAAGAGCCTGGATCTGGGGAACACAACACCTGGTTCAGGAACAATTGGCCACATTACCCTATTCTTCCATGTTTCAAGCATGTAGTCTCCTCACACTGTTAATGCAATAGCAACCATAACATAAATTCTCATTTATTCAATGTACATTGTTCATTGATGCTGTAGCTGGAACAGTGACACTTCATCCAGGAGGGGCATTCTAGTTTCATGAGCAAAAATTTTGGGGAGACTGAGACTGGCTTTGTAATAAAGATGACAGCAGCTGTCAGAACGCACCCTCTGAAAAGATGCCCAGGAAACCATCAAGTGTGGGACAAAAAAGTTTAATAACTCACGTTATGTGTCATGCAAGGGCAGCAAAGGTGTCTGTTGGGGCCTTGCCAGACTCAAAACAGAAAAAGCAGCATGGCTGTGCAGAGGAGACCAGTGCTTCAATCAATGGTACATCGAGACATCCCTGGGTCAGCATATTATCTGATGACATCAAGCTGTGACAAGGTCCACTGCTGCAATACAGTAGTACTGATATGACTCTAGATTCAGGGTTCTGAAGCAAGTGCAATAGAACTAGCAGCCTTTATTAATAAAACAGCACAGTGTGAATCTCCGTCCTTTCTCATTGCATACCTAGTCCTGGCTCATGTACAGTGGACTGAAATCAGGATGGTCACATCCAAAAGTAGTTATTCAGCCTACTGGTGCTCTGGTAGGAAGAGGGACAACCACAGGAAAAAGTTAGTGGAGGATGCCAAGGAGAGAACTTTGTTCAACATAAAAAAAGATAAGCCTGTGAGAGAGGCTTTCAGTGGAAGGTGGGGCTTGTTTCTCAATTAGTGCTTCCTAGCGTTTCCCATTTCCAACCAGAATCACTTTGGTTGTGCCTGGATTCAGCTTGAGCCAGCTGCTCCTCATCCAAGAGACGATCTCTTGTAGGCATTGGCATTCTGACCTCTTGGCGGTGGTTGCATCAGTTGAGAATGAGATAGAGAGTTGAGTATTATTGGCATGCTGTTGCCAGCGGAGCCCGTGGTCTCACAGTGGTCTCATGGAGATTTTGAGGAGAAGCAGGGATAGTGTGACTCAACAAAGGCCTTCAGAGAGGAGGAGCAGTTACTCATCTCACTCTCTGGAGAGGAATGATAGGGGCTGGAGCTACAACAGAGCCAGGCTATCTACTCCTGCTATGTCACATAGGCATCTTAGCAGTGCCTTGTGGTGCACTTGCAAAGGCTGGAGGGAGGTCCAGAACTATGAGCAGGGTAATGCTTAATTTGTGCCAGGGCTGAGCCCGGCACTCTGGGCCTGGCAGGTCACGGCCCCAGCACTTCTGGGCTTGGCAGGTCACAGCAGGGTTGCCAACTTTCTAATCACACAAACCGAACACCCTTGCCCCGCCCCTTCTCTGAGGTCCTGCCCCTACTCACTCCATCTCCCTCCCTCCATCGCTCGCTCTCCCCCACCCTCACTCACTTTCACCGGGCTGGGGCAGAGGGTTGGGGTACAAGAGGTGGTGAGGGCTCCAGCTGGGGGTGTGGGCTCTGGGGTGGGGCCTAGGATGAGGGGTTTGGGGTGCAGGAGGGAGCTCCGGGCTGGGGTCGAGGGGTACGGAGTGTGTGAGAGAGCTCAGGGCTGGGGCAGGGGGCTGGAGTGTGGGAGGGAGTGAGGACTCCGGCTGGGGGTGAGGGGTTTGGGGTGCAGGAGGGGGCTCTGAGCTGAGGCAGAGGGGTCGAGTGTGGGAGGAGGTTTGGGGTGTGGGCCCTGGGAGGGAGTTTGGATGCAGGAGGGGGCTCAGGCATTGGGGCATGGGAGGGGCTGCTGAGTGCGGGCTTTAGCCGGGCGGCGCTTACCTCTGGCTGCTCCTGGAAGCAGCCGGAATGTCCAGCTCCTAAGCTCAGGGGCAGCCATGCGGCTCTGTGCACTGCCCCTGCCTGCAGGCACTGCCCTTGCAGCTCCCATTGGCCACGGTTCCTGGCTGATGGCAGCTGTGGAGTTGGCGCTCGGGGTGGGGCACAGGGGCAGTGCGTGGAGACTCCCTAGCCGCCCCTGCGCCTAGGAGCCAGACATGTTGGCTGCTTCCGGAAGCCATGCAGAGCCAAGACGGGTAGGGAGCCTGCCTTCACCCTGCTGCGCCACCAACTGGACTTTTAGTGGCCTATTAAAATCTCCGGGATTGCTTTCAATAGCCACCAGGAGATTGACGCCGATTCCGCTAGACTCCTGGCCAATCCGGGAGGGTTGGCAACCCTAGTCAGTGCCCTGGCACCTCTGGGCCTGGCAGGTCACAGCCCCGGCACCTCTGGGCTTGCTGCATCAGTTATGAATGTGAAAAAAATTGCTTGAGCCCCATCACTTCTTTCATTACAAATTAAACACTGGAGCAGGGGGATCTTTTCTGTGTCTATGGCTGTGAGGAGCTTATCTTTTTAGTTCCAGTACGGCAGTCTCTGTGCTGTGCTCTGGTCTGTACATAGATTGCAAGGCGTCTAGGAGTTTGGCTGATGTAACCACCAGGCTCCAGTATGTGACTGCTTCCTCAGTTATATTGTCCAGGAGTGGGAGGTTGGAGTCACGTTGGTGGCTGGGGAGATCTGCAGGGTCGAGCATTGGCTTCTTGATGATTGGATTGACTGCTGCATTTTTCAAGGAATTTGGCAGGTTTGCTTCTCTGAAGCACCATGGAGATCGTAATGCACTGGTTTTCCTAGGCCAGCACTTTGAATTGCACCCAGAAGTAAAAGCCAGTGCAGATGCTGATCGCATATCCCATAGGAAATTTATTCCTAGACGCTGGAGACTGCCTCTCTCTATATGCGCCATCAGAACAAATGGAATGCTCTTGCCTATATGTAACAACATAGGGAGGGCCAGGGAGCATGGTGTTCTTGGTGGAGGCTGCTTGACTCTGTTGACTTCTTGTGTTGGCCTGATGAGGTGTAAGGCCCAATGGGTTCTGTATCGTGGTGTGAGAGCCTACAAATTAGGTTGTTTGTTGACAGAATATACAGTTCATGAATAAATAAGCCCTTTCTGTGACTGTATTAACATCCCAGCCTTCTCAGCTACCATGTATCTGTGTGTTTCATTTGCAGGTATGTGGCTGCCCTCTGTACTGGAAAGCCCCCATGTTCAATGCAGCAGGGGGAGAAAGGACGGGATTTGTATCTGTACATTCGTTCGTAGCTATGTGGAGACAGTGAGTACAGCATATAAGAACGTTCTCCCTCAGAAAAGGGAAAGGCCAGCCACCCAACTGCCTGCCCTAACACTTCTTCAGTCCTGCTTTCCTACTCACCCACCAGGCTCTTCAAACCCCTCCTCCTTCTGTCCAAATAAATCCGTATTTTAAAATCGACATTGGTTTCAGTTATCTTCCCCATCATTTACTGAATGTTTGTTTCTCCCAATGCTTTAATAGGGTCTGCATCCGTTGATTAGGAATAGCCCATATCTGCAAATGTTGTGTGTATGAGGTACAGTGACATGGACACTGAGTGAGTCTGGAGATAGTATCATTCCCTAGAACAGTGGGTCCTACAGTAGGACTCCTACTCTGGGATGGACGGTAGAGTCCTTTAATGCTCTAAATTGTTTGGCAATCCCTGTTGGAGGCACAATTCCACAGGATTGCTTTCGAATCTGGCCCATTTGGGAGGAGTGGGGGGAGGGAGCGCTATGCAGTCTTCTTCCAACTGCAGAGCCTCTCTTTGGCACACTTCCTGCTTGGGCTCTTTAAGTGTACCTATCCTTGCACCTCCCTGGCCTGTCTCCAAAGACCCCTCCCTGCCAAAGTGGAGCACAGCTCTGTGGCATGCAGTAGAAGTGCACCCCCGGCTCTGGCTCTCTGCAGCCTGTTCCCTCGCTCCAGTGAACCCACAACCATTCTGCTCCCTGGCATTGATTCAGGAAAGTGCTTAAGTCCTGCAGACTTCGTCATTATATGCTTTCCTTAATCAGTGCCCTGTCAGCCATGGGTATTTGTTACGCTTGTTACTTTACATCCCCTGAGGTTAGCTCTACACCTCACACAGGTGGAAAGACATGGTTTCTGGAGAGCTGACAGTCTCTCACGAGTGCTGGTGCAGTGTGTGTGTGTGTGTGTGTGTGTGTGTGTGTGTGTGTGTAACAAGCAGTAGGGAAATGGGGCAAGAGAGGAGGAGGCTTACAGTGACCAGTCACGTTGTTGCTGGGATTAGTCCTGCTCACAGGATGGAAGCTCAGTCAGGAGAGGACTCTAAGGAAGTATTAAATGAGGAGATTGAAGGGCGTGATGGAGGAGAAGTAGATGTGCATCCCAAGTGCAGGGGGCAAAGAGGGTGTTATGTTGTTGTTGTGAGGGAAGCAGGCCTGGGGCTCTGCTGTCATTGTGGAGGTGTAGGGGGAAGTAGGGGGTAAACTGGAGGTTGCCGAGATGTGGGTGTGAGTGACATGACACAGTGGGTCAGATCCTGAGGGCTTTACTTGTTTTTCATTTGTTACCAAATGCCTGAGTAAGGACGTGGCCCTGTAAGAGGAGTTTCAGTGTCTCTGGAGCATGCCATTGTCAAGGCTCCTTTCTGAATTCTCTCCTGTGGCTATTGAGAGCTCTGGCTAGGAGGCTTGGAATCACAGATGGTGTGAGATGGAACAGCTCTGTTATCTTACCCAGTTTTTGTGCCCATAGGACATGTCTGCAATATCACTTAGTTTAATTTTTAAAGTCCCAAGCAGTGTGATTTCCACCTCTTCCACAGCCCAGTTCAGTGGGCACCCTTCAAACTGCCTTTGGAGCTGTGCTCCCTAGGTATTTTCTGAGCTAAATATAAAAACTGTTGGGATAACAGCGTCTAGTTACCAAAGTAAAACTGTAAAATATATAGGGATAGTCACAGTCAGATTGTTTTTGTTGACACACATGTTGTATCATAGGTTCCTCCACTTAGTCCTAATTAATCTCTCTTGCATACTAAATAGTTCTTATCCCTTCTTCATTGTCACAGCCTTCAAATATTTGTAGACTGGTATCATGTCCCTACTTTGTCTTTTCCTTGCCAAACTATTTTTTGCTGTTTTAATCTTTCCTCAGTTTCTCCAGACCCCGATCATTTTTATTGCTCTTCTATGAAGACCCTTCAGTTTTCATACATTCATAGATTCCAAGACCAGAAGGGACCATTGTGATTCTCGAGTCTGACACCCTGTATAACCCAGAATCTCCTAGAACTTCCCCACAATAATTCCTAAAGCAGATCTTGTAGAAAAACACCCGATCTTGATTTAAACATTGTCACTGGTGGAGAATCCACCATGATCCTTGGTAAATTGTTCTAATGGGTAATTACTCTCACGATTAAAAATGTGCACCTTATTTCCAGTCTGGATTTGTCTAGCTTCAACTTCCAGTTATTGGATCATGTTACATCTTTCTCTGCTAAGAGGCGATTATTAAATATTTGTTCCCCATGTGGTTACTTACAGACTGTCATCAAGTCAACCCTTAACCATAGCCATATGGAAACAGGCCTTCATTTTAAAACATGGATGCCTAACTTTAAACACCCAAGTCCATTTTAGGCACCTAAATAAGTGGCCTTATTTTTCAAAAGTGTTAAGCACCCACAAATCTCATTCGAGGTCAGTGGGAGCTACTTAGTGTGCAGAAGTTTTGAAAATCAGTCCACTTATTTTAATATGGCCTTGGGAGCCCAACTTTCTGCTCTCATTTTAAACTAGCTCAACCTGAATCTAGTGCCTCTCTTTTTGGAGACGGATGCGTTTGCATATGCAGCCCAAAGTCTCCCTGCTCTTTCTGCAGCAATCAAACTGCACATTCATGTCTAATTTGCCATTCACCATCAGGCAATTTAAAGAGCAAAAATAACCACAAATTTAAAGAGTTAAAAACTGGGCATGATGCTCCATCAGTCAAGCTGATGAAGGAAAAATATGGTGACTGAGCATACTTTTTAATCTGTCCCTTAATGGGCTGGGCCTACGGTGACTGTCCACAGGCATGCATGCTAGACCCACTGTTTACACTTAAAGAGACACCATAAGAAATCTCTGCACTCATAACCTTTACTTAGTAAGTGTTAACGCATTCCTCTAGAGCAGTGGTTCCCAAACTGAGGTTCATGAACCCCTGGGGGTTCGCAAAATGTTACAGGGGGTTCTCAGGAAAAAGTTCCCTAATGGCGGACAGCTGTCCCTAGGGACCCCGGGTAGCACGGGGCCAGCAGCCCGGAGCCCCTGGACTTCCAAGAGCTAAGCAGATCAAAGTAAGCATATCTATCACACTGAGGAGATTTAAATTCAAGACTCCTTATAAGAAATGGAAAGGGAGGTGGATATTTTTTGCTGTTTTTAAAATGAAATAGGCAGCTAGGATTGTTTTTAAAATTATTATGAAGAACAAGTTTAAGCTTTGTTGTAATGTGCGTTGTTTGTCTGGATTGCTCAAGACCTGAATGCTTGAGTAGGAGGAACTCTTTGAGTTGGCTTCTTAAATACCTTCATGCTGTTTCACATCTGATACTCCTTGATGAAACATAGCCTTGTCTTATAACAGGCTTATTCAAAGTGATACAAGCTAAAAAAGTGAGATCTTGGAAGAGTGTTGCCGTTTTCATAATGTAATAAAAATACTGTAATGATAAATAGTAATTAATAATACATTGTGTGTAATAAGCATGTCATAAAAACAAATTTTATATTTCCCAGATCACTGCTTTTATAATTTATATTCAGGTAAAGGAAAAAATCCCTGGGAATATTCATTTTTAGGAGAGGGTTCGTGAGACTTGACATTTTAATGAAAGGAGTTCACAGGATGTTAAAGTTTGGGAACCACTGCTCTAGAGGGACCATTATATTTGCCCCTATTTTCAGATTGGTGTGATGGAGCCACTTTGATTAAGTATATTGCATATTCTGTATTTGGTAATGGGTGATGTATTCGTGACATGCAATGATGAAATACTTTATATTCCAGCATTAACTAAGGAGGAGCATCTACTAAAGTTAAACATTTAAATCAGCAAGACCAGATTACGTGCACCTCAGATTTATAGCAGAACTGGCTGAGGAGTGGGTCCCGCTGGAAAGCCACTGAACATGAACTCCCAGTGCAGCGTTATGGCTAAATGCTGTGCATTTGTTTATTTAACCATTTTCTACAATTTCCTGTTTTCAAGCCTCTAACGCCTCAGTCCAGCAAGTACTTAAACATGTCCATAACTTTATGCACATGGGTATTCCCAGTGAGTTGACTGAGACTATGCACATGCATAAAGCTACTCACAGGTGAAAATGCCCATAGGACTGAATGCAAGTGTCTAATAACTAATTCTTATTAATGGTAAGTAATCATTAGTAAATAACAAATAAATAATGTGTTTTAATTTTTGCAGTTCTTGAAAATTACTGAGTAATTTTTCTTTGAGTAATTTATTGTTTCCATCACAATAACTGGTGAAAGCTCTGGAGCCTGATGCTTTCTACATTGTTTCTCAGTCCCTGTCATGATTATTTTTCAGTAAGGGCTTGGTGAAAGCCTGGGAATTTCTCATTTTTGTGTGTGTGTTTTGGTTCTATAGACACCAGTTATTTGGATAACTGTGTTAATCTTGACCAACAATGTTATGTAGTAGGAAATAGCGAAGATTGGAATAACGTTCCACTCTTCTGAAGTACTCACTTCTCTGGGTCACAGACAGAAGATATCATCCTATAGAGCATATTTCCATTCAGTAAAGCACCACACCCTGCTAGCAATTTTTATAGTTGGAGCAGATTCCCCTCCACAGCCTCCCTCCCCAACCTTCTCCACTTCCCACACACACACTTGACAAAAGAAGCCATTGTTTGCCTCTTTGGGGTGATTTGTATGCTAGGGAATTTTGTCAGTAGAGTTTGGCAGCATCTTCAAATACTGAAGTCTTGGAAAAAGATTAAACTATAGGGGAGAGATTCTATTATGGCATCTCATTGGATCCATCTTTAATGGATGCTAAATGTTAAATGTTTTTTTCTATGTTAAAAGATAGATCAGAACTCCATAAGAAATGGATATTAGCAATATATGGCTTGATTTTAGTAAGGCTTTTGACACAGTCCCACATGACATTCTCATAAGCACGGAAATGTGGTCTAGATGAAATTACTATAAGGTGAGTGCACAGCTGGTTGAAAGATTGTACTCTCAGAGTAGTTATCAATGGTTCACTGTCAAAGTTGGAGGTGTATCTAATGGGGTCCCGCAGGGGTCAGTCCTGGGTCTGATACCATTCAATATTTTCATTAATGACTTAGATAATGGAGCAGAGAGTATGCTTCTAAAATTTGCACATGATACTAATCATAAGGGTGGTTAAGCTCTGGAATAGGCTTCCAAGGGGGGTTGTGAAATCCCCATGGTTGGAGGTTTTTAAAAACATGTTGGACAAACACCTCTCAGGGAGGTCTAGGTTTACTTGGTCCTGCCTTAGCACAGGGGGCTGAACTTGATGACTTCTCGAGGTCCCTTCCAGCCCTACCTTTCAACGATTCTATGAATATTGATTTCTAAGGGCCAGTTCTGCCCCTCTACCACACACAGGGTGCAATTCTCCCTTTTGCAGAGGACTAGCAAAAACCCTATTGTGCCACGTACTTCCTTCTTAAACCCCCAAGTTAGGGCCTAAATGGGATTCCAGTGGTATATAGGCCTTGTGCTTTTGCTTTGCAGAAAGGTGAATTTCTCCCATTCAGAGTAAGAGAGACATAATCATGTACTAAAAATGTAGTTTTCAGACAGTGAGAAGACATGAATCTTTCCAATTGATAAGGGAAGCTAAAAGTATCAATGAAAAAAATCTGTGGCCAGTGGAGTTAAGGACAATAAGAATGAATTTTTAAAATAAATCAGAAACAAATGCCATCATCATAACATTGGTATAGGTCCAGTATTAGATGGGTATAGCAAAATTATCAATCATGGTGCAGAAAAGGTTTTTCAATAAATATTTCTGTTCTGCATTTGAAAAGCAGCTGTATGACTTATTTTTATCTTACACAGTTAATTAAATACTTTCTATTCCAACAGTAACTAGGCAGAATGTTAAACAGAAAACTGCTAAAGCCAAACATTTTTTTAAAACTGCAGGACCAGATAACTTGCAACCAAGAGTTTTAAAAGAATTAGCCAAGCAGGAGATTATCAAGTAGAAGTAGAGAGGTGATATTACCACTGTATATGGCATTACTGAGGCTATTACTGAATGCTGTGACCAGATCTGATATCAACACTTCAAAAAACTGGAAGGTTTAGAAAAGAGCTGCAAGAATGATATGCAGTCTGGAAAACCTGCCTTGTATAGAAAGAGATGAGGGAAACTCAATTCTAGATTAGTTTATCCTAGAGAAGATTAAGAAGTCACTTGATCATAGTCTGTAAGTACCTACATGGAGAAAATAATTCTGATAGTATAGAGTTCTCTAACCTAGCAGGCAAAAGCAAAATAAGATCCAATGGCTGGTAGCTGAAGCCAGACAAATTCAGATTAGAAATAATAATAATAATTAATTAACCATTGGAACAACTGACCTAGAGTTTTCCACCTCTTTAAGTGTTTTAAGGCAAGCCTGGATGTCCCTTTCTAAGAGATCTGCTCTAGCTCAACCAGAAATTATAGGCTTGATGCAGGAATCACTGGGTGAAATTCTCTCGTCTGTTAAGCAAGAAGTCAGATGAGACGATCCTAATGATACCATCTGGCCTTAACAACTGTGGCTCTATGAAATGGGAATGCTGTTCTAAGATACCTTAGTGTAGGAAGAGTAAAGAGAACAAAACTATACATTTTTAGCAAATAAGCACAGAGATTACTTTCTTCAAGTCTCAGAATTTAAATAAACACTTAATATAAACATTTGACATACTGCACTGCATAAGTAGGCAAGTAACTGTAATGATGATTCCCTACAATGAACAGTAGAACACAGTGATAAGAAGTACCATAACTGTTGCCTTCAGAAGGCTTTTTCTTCAAAGCAATCATTGCTATTTGACAGTTGTCACAGTTATGGAGCTAGCTGTGCCAGTGCCCCCCTCAGGTGTGTGACCTCTTTCCCCTTAGCTGTCTCAGGATGGAATCTCGTGATTCTTATACTCTTTGGCCAGACCCTGAGAACATGGCCTCATGTACCAATTACTTGTAACCCTGCAGGGCCGACTGGGTTCAGACGCCTTCGTTTCTTCCCTTCGGGGTCCTGTGATATTGACCAACAGCCTCCTTCAAACAAAGGTGTTTTATTTAGCAGTTGGAACAAAACATAAAACAAAAAAAGGATTTTAAAAGTAACAGCCTACTTGCATTGTCTTATCTAACATTACGCTGCCCTACAAGCCCAGTTAGATGCACTTTCCTCTTCAGCTGCAGACACAGAACACAACCAACTTACGTTCTCCTAGCCAGCCTAGATCCTGCTGTGTGTCTGTGTGACTCTGTCTGACCCAATCTTTTCAAACTGGCTTGGACACTCCCCCAGAGCGTGGGCTAGTCCTATTAAGGTTACTGGCTCTTGGAATGTCTCTTAGCGACTCTCCCATTTAAGTTGTTAGGTGACTATTGGAAAGGGCCTACACTGTCTTTCCCTAGATGGGCAGGCTGCCGCAGCTACCCAGACAGACCCTTAGGGTAAAATATCCATCCCCTTTTATGAGACAGTGACACCTCGGTGGTGACAGATCCACCTTGGTGGTGAAACCGTATTAGCAATCACCAAAGAGCACACCCATATTTGTCACAGTAATATTAGGGAGAAACAATATTCAGCTCCTCCAAGAAACACTTGGGCATTGTTTCAAGGTATCAAGGAAGAGAATAAGGTGTTACCCTTCTGATGTCAGGTATGCATAACTTACATGGTCACAACTTTGCATAAACTGCATAACTTCTGGCTGAAATTTGGCACTTTAAATAAGGAGCCTAACAATCAAACTGTGGCTTCTGATTGCTGTGTCCTCTGAGAGTATGAATTAGTTTGAGTAATTTATAACCTTATCTCTCTCTCTCATAGATTACTACAGAGCTGCCATGATGATGCAGCCAAATTTCTTTACCTTCTAGCAAAACCCAGCTGCAGCTACCTAGAGCAGGAGGATTTCATCCCACTTCTTCAGGTACATAAACCTTGCTCAGCAGTACCTGGTTGAGTGAGCAGGGCGAAGGGTGTTGCTAATTTGGGATATTTGTTTGTAACTTCTTCAGTGTATGTAAAGGGCATGCAGAGCTTTGAATGGGCTGTAGTTGGGGTCGAGCTTTTTAGACTTAAATTTAAATAATAATGTAAGGGGGTACTCATTTTCGAAGGAGCTGAGCAGTGGCAGCTCCTGCTGAAGTAATTGAAAATTGTGCCCTTTTATGCAAAACTTTAACTTGACCCATGGTCTCCAGTTGGGGTAACCATTTGGAATTAACAGGTAGCTAAACTGAATCCACCCAGCTCCTCCATGTGCTTGTATCTGCAAATCTCAAACCTCAGGACTGGAGAACATACAAGGCACTGTGAGATCAATAGATAGATATTAGACTAAAGTATAAAACCTTTGCGTGTTAAGAGTGCAGTTAACAGTTATTTAATTTACCTAATAACACTTCTTCCGGACTACCAAGTGCAATCTACCATTGAAATATTTGCAAAGAATTATGAAACTAAAGTATTGTAAATGTCAGCTAGCCTATTACATATTTAAATTCCACTCTACAAAAAGCTTTTCTTTGTATTCTACCTAAAT